AAGGACCCCCTCCCCCTCCATCTCATGGTGGTAGTGGTGGTGGAAAACAGCCCCTTCATACCAAGACGCCCTCCCGAGCAGGACCAGCAAAACGCGCGGGACCGCAGCGCGGGGACGAGCGGCGGCGCCTGAGGTCCTGGGGCTGCCGCTCCTGTGCGCCGCCGCGCGATCCCCGCGCGCGCCCCCCCCCCCGCCCGCCCCCTCGCTCATCCTCCTCCATCTCCTCCTCCTCCACCTCCTCCCCATCTCCTACCTCCTCCACCTCCTCCTCCTCCTCTTCCTCCGCCTCCTCCTCGTCCTCCTGCTCGTCCTCGTCCTCCTGCTCCTCCTCCACCTCCTTCTCCTCCTGCTCCTCCTCCGCCTCCTCCTCCTCCTCTCCTGTCTCCTCCTCCTCTCCTCTCCCCTCCTCCCTCCTTCCAGGGACGATGACAAAACGTGTGAGGATAAATCTCCTCCTCCTCCTCCTCCTCCTCCTCCTCCTCCTCCTCCATCCTCTTCCTCCTCCCCTTATTCATCCCTCCTCCTCCTCCTCCTCCTCCTCCTCCTCCTCCTCCTCCTCCTCTAACGCTCTGGAACGGAGTTTCCAGCCTCGCCCGAGCAAGGGAGGACGACCGGAGGAGGCTATGTGCATTTGGTCGCTTCGTGCCGTAACGACCCCAACGTTGGCGTCCGACCCCCCGCGGATCGCCCTTGGACGATCGGCGGCTCTCCCATCGCCAGGTCGCTCCGTGCTGGCCGATTCCGGGCCGCCGCCGTCGTTCGACCTCGAACGCCCACGCTGGGGAGGAACAGAGACGTTGATAATCTCCAGGAGGGAACAGAGGAGGAGGAGGAGGGGGAGGACGAGGAGGAGGAGCAGGAGGAGGAGGGGGAGGAGGAGGAGGAGGAGCAGGAGGAGGAGGAGGAGGAGCAGCAGGAGGAGGAGGAGGGGGGCAGGAGGAGGAGGAGGAGCAGGAGGAGGGGCCGCCGTCGCGCCGACACGCCACGAGCCGACCGCAGAGGGGCCCGCAGCGACTTGCGGCTCGCCACGGCTGCCGCGCGAGAGCATCCCCCGGGGGTGTGCAGGGCGGCGGGGCGGCCCGCGGAGAGCAGGGCCGTGGGCGGGGGGTGCCCCCCGCCAGGCCCCCGCTGGGCTTGCGGGGCCCTCCGCGGCGGGAGGGCTGGGCCCCCTCGCCAGGGGGGAGGGGGGGGGCACGCGGCGCTGACGGCCCCCTCGCCAGGGGGGGGGGGGGGCAAGGGGGGGGGAGGGGGCACGCGGCGCTGACGGGGCCGCGGGGGGCTGCGGCAGGAGCGTGCGTGAAGGAACCTTGCGACAGGACGTCCTACCGCAGGGGGCCCGACCACAAAAGAAGCCTCCCACGAGAACCCCCATCCCTGAGACCCCAGGACGTCCACTGGTTTTTGGTGTGGGAACGTCGCGCTCTCCATGAGGAGCGTTCTTTTCATTCGGCGCTTCGGCATTGGGCGGACGGGGGGGGGTGGTGGAGGGGGGGAGATCTGGCTCCGGACCTCTGCTGAAAGTGACTGTTTGGAACTGTGCGTTCCGTGGGGGACGACTCCGCCTGCCCGAGACAGGCGCCGAATGCAGCCAAGATCTACTCTACCAGGGGGGGGGAGGGTGGATGCGAGGGCCCGCGCCGATCGGGAAAATATGATGGGAACAAAAACGCTCACAATGGCGGAAGCATCGAAACCCAAGAAACCCAGGGCACCCTGGAGGCGAGCAAGGCAAGGCGTTCCTCGGCATGGGCAATTGGGGCACATTCTCCGTCGATCACTGTGAGGGTCCTGAGGTGCCCCAGAGTTCCGCGGGTGCCTGAGGCCCTCGTGGGGCGAGACAGTTCCGTGGGACGCCTGCTGACGGGCCGAACTCTTGTTCGATGTCCCTGCTGCACCAGCTCGTGGTGCCGCGATGCCGCAGCCCTCCCCCCGCAGAGGCGTGGTCGTGGGAGGGGTCCCTCGATGCCAGCCGACCTCTCGATCGGGTCGGGGTCCGACCTAAACCCCCGATCGCTTGCCTTGTCCAAATTCGGCCTCTGGGTCTCTCGACCCCTTTCCTGAGACTACTTGTTTGATTGCCACGTCGCTCGATGACAGCACCCGGAGCCCGACAACTGGATGAGGAGAAGGAGAAGCGGAAGGGTGGAATGTTTTTTGTTCCTCGCGCGAGCCCCGTCTGCTCAGCGAGGGGTCTCCTCTGCTCCACCTGCTCAGTCGCGCTTGGTGACGCTTAGCCCGGAGCGCACCTTCTCCACTCCGCCCTTCGGCACAGTGTCGAACACCGCGCCGGTGTAGTCGATCCCGAGGAGCGGGAGCACGTACTGCCACAGCACGTCCAGGCCAGCCGCCAGAAGCCCCAGCAAGGCGGCGAACGTGCCCACCTGAGACAGCAAGAGCGACCAACTGAAGACGCCTGCTGCGCCATCCCGGTCCACCACCACGGAGAGGCCGCCACTCTTGCGGACGGTCCTCGTGTGCAGGCTGCCTTCATCGCCGAAAGCATGCTGGACGACCTCTCGGGTGGTGGCGCTCCCGACGTGGTCCACTCTCAGGTCATAGGAGAGCGCACGATGGCCCCACAAGTGCTCCCAGAAGCTGCCCGGGTTGTACCAACGAATGATGATGTGCAGCTCCAAGCCTTTCCGACGGAAGGACTTTGGCCCCTTCGTAGAAGAAGAAAACACTCCATAAACATGAAACGCCTTTGGCGCTCCGCGCGAATTTCTCGGATCTGCGCTGGACCCTCCTCCCTGGCGTGCGGAGCGCGCCAGGGGCGGCGCCGGAGGCGCCGCCAAGGGCGCCCAGCGCGGATCCAAGAACTCCGCGCGGAGCGCCAACGGTTTATGTTTATGGCGTTGTTTCTTCTTCGGCTTCGTGCGATTCGGATCGTACGAGTACTTGTCGTGAGCGGCGTCTAGGGAATCGATCCCGGTCGCATGCAGCCATCGGCGGATCGGAAAGACGGGCGCTTCGCCGGCCGGGATCTCCTCGAGCACCTCCCCGCCCGGCCCCAGGAGCCGCCCCGGGAAGTCCGTCACTGTGCCAGCGAAGGGGCAGAAGGCACCCCTCTTGCAGTGCAGCTGCTCCCACTTGGTCGCCCTCACCCGCGACTTGACCTCGAGCGGGAAATCCTCCACCCCCGCGATGAAGAAGCTCTCCGTGGAGTTCAGCCAGAAGCCGGTGGCGCAGCGTGGCGCCGCACAGGAGCTGACCTCGTGGCGGTCCTCGACGAAGGTGCGGATGAACGTCGCGCCGCTGGCGCCGTACAGCTCTGCGACCTCCTCGAAGTCCCACTCGGCGCAGCCCGGATCTTGCTGGCAGTTCGGGTGTTGCTAGAGGTGCCCCTGGCCCGAGGTGCCCCTGGCTTTTCGCTTGATTTTGGAGCCTCTGGGGCCCTCTGGGCCTCGTGAGGGGCCCCCTGGAGGCCGTCTGGGCCGCCCCGAGAATCCTGGGGGTACCTTGGGCCAGGGGCACTTCTAGCAACACCCGAGCAGTAGGCGGGGCTGCCCACGCTGGCCAGCTGCCGCAGCCTCGCCTTGCCCTGCCCGATCACCGGCTCCTGCTGCAGGAAGCGCTGCTGCAGCACCGCGGAGGAGAACGTCGAGAGGATCAGCAGGGCCGCGCCGGCATAGTTCGGGGATGGACAGACCCCCCTTTAGTAAAACGTGGTTTAGTGAAAACGACCTGAGACCCAAACCTGGCGGGCGCAAGCCTGGAAAATAACGGTCACGGCGCCCTCTCGAGAACCGACAACGGACAATTCACTAATCGACGTGTCACTGTTGGGGGTTCTGTCCACCCCCGAATAGTAGGCGGCCGCGAGCCTCCAGTCCTGGATGGCCACGTAGGGCACCGTCCAATAGGAGAGCGACCGCATGGGGGCCGGCGCCCTGTCTTGGGCTCCCGGAAAAAGCTTGAGCCAAAATGGCTACGGACGAAGAAATAGGGCGAGGACAGGTACTTGGGAGGAGGAGGAGCAAGAAGAAGAAGACGGTCGGACCCGAGGGACACCTTAGCGAGTCCTGCCTCGGCAGAGCCCCTCTACGCAGCTCCCTCAGATCATCTCCCACACACGAAAGAGGAGGATGCATCCCATTCCCTCACCCTCCTTCTCTCCAGAGGCCAAGCTGAAAGTACAGCAACAAGAGCACGGGTGGGGATCGGTTGTATTGGCGACGCGCTGAGGGAGGAAACGAGGTTGCAGGCTTTCTTAGAGGGCGTCGGGGCTGCGAAGAAGGCCCAAAAAGCTTCCGAAAGGCCCCTGGCCTTCCGCGCCTTCTGAGCAGGCCCGACCCCCTCTGCCTTCCTCCCCGGGCGCGCCGCCGATTGCAACACGTCACCACAAAAGGGGCCTGGGTCCTCCTCCTCCTCCTCCTCCTTCTCGCACCCCTCCCTGCCAACGCTCCTGCGCCAGCGCCGCGCTCCCACGCGGCGACGACGCCCACGAACAACGACGACACGGACCGACGAACCGACGACGACAGCGCGGGCGAGGACGAAGACACGCGGAGCACGACGACACCGACCCCACGATGGACGGCAGCGCGAGGACGAGGGCGATCACCACGGGGCGCAAGAACGAACGACCGAAGACCCGAAGACGACGGCACCGAACGAACGGGCGAGCCCGACGACCGACGACGTGCACGCGGACCTCCGCGCGCGCCGCTCGGACAGGACCCGCCTCGGGGCGCGAGCGCGCCCGAAGGGAGCCCGGCGCTGCGCGGGCCCCTCGGGCGGGCGGGACGCTTCAAAGCGGGGTGAAGCCGAGATCCGTGGCGCCGAGACGTGGGGGGGGGAAGGAGACTGAAGGGGCCCAGGGACTCACGAACAAATGGCCGCACAAAATCCCAGGATCCCCCTCGTTCTCAGTACTCCCTGGATGTCTGTCTTCCCCTCCGCTTCCCAGACGTTCCGTGTTTTCCTGGGCAGCAGCGACTGCTTGTGTCTGTGTGTTCTTCCCTTCTGTGAGGGGGTCGGCTGCACGCAGGAGTGACCCC